TCGGGATGGACGTCGAGGCTCCCTCCGAGCCGCCCGCGGAGGACCCCCCGCCTGAGCCCGCCCTCGGGGCTCGGCGTCGGCGGCGCCGCGCGAAGCCTCCCCGTGGGGCTGGGGAGGAGGAGGGGCGAGGAGGTGGCGGTGGTGGAGGCGCTGGCACGGCGGCGGTGGCGATCGGGGGAGGGCCCGACGCTAGGGCTGCCGTGGGGCTTGGCGCCCACGCCGATGCTTCCGCGGCGGGGGCGGCCGTGGTTGGCGGCGGCGAAGCAGCTGGAGCGGCGCGCATGGGCCTCGAGCCCGTGCTTGCACCTGCGGCAGCCGCCGCCGCGGACGGCGACGACGCGATGAGCGACCTGAACGATGAGTGGGCCGACGCGCCCCCCGCTCGGCTCGCCAGGCCGCCTCCGCAGCCGCTGAGCCCAGCCCCAACGGCGGTTTCAGCGCTGGCCGAGCAGCTGGCGGAGATCCTCGAGTCACGCGAGAGCATGCTGTTGATGCTCCGTGATCGGTCTTCGAACCTGGCTGCTGACGAGCGGCGCTGGGCCCTCCTGGGCGACGATGGCCTTCGGCGCGTTTTGCTCCAGGCGCTGGGGCTGCAGCGGCCCGCCGAGTCGGCGTCAGCCCCGCGGGGCGAGTCGGCGTGAGGCGCCCCTACGGGGAGAGCTCCTAAGGGGGAGCACGCGGCGGCGGCGGCAGCTGGGCGCTCCTCGTCGCCGCGTTTTGCGTTGGTTATCCGTGCGTTGCCATCGGGCTGCGTGGGGCGAATCGCATTCCCCACGGGCCCCCCTAGGGAGGCCCCCTGGGAAGGCCCCTGGGCGCTTCTGCGAGGGCAGTGCGTGCTGGGGGTGTCATAATATTCTAGAATAGTATTGCTCTGGTGCTTCCTGGTCCTGCCCAGGGGCTCCAAAGCGGCCCATGTGGGCCTGTTGGCACAAGCCACGGTCAGTTGCTCATATGCTGCTGGACGTGCGCCCTTGAGGTCCCGACACACACACACACGCACACACACACACACACACACACACACACACACACACACACACACACACACACACACACACACACACACACACACACACATGACGTCACAACACACCACTCAGTAAGCGCTTCGTGGCCCCCGTAGGGAGCCCACCGAAGTCACCAGCGCCACCGTCCACATGCGCCCGCCCCCCCCCCCCCCCCCCCCACCACCCCACTCAGTGCAGTCCTTCGTGGCCCCATATCGGACTTATCTTCGTCCCGGCCACGTCCAATCGCCCCCCCTCCCCCCCCTTCACCCAGTACAAGCGCTTCGTGGCCCGTAGGGACTCCACCGAATGAGGCCACGAGCCACCGTCCACAACTGCCTCCCCCCCCCCCCCCCCTCCCCCCACTCAGTGCGATCGAGGTTTGTGACCCCCGTAAGGATCTCCACGAAGACCCATTGGCCACCGTCCACATGCGTCCCCCCACTCAGCACAGCGTTTCGTGGCCCCATAGGGAGCCCCACCGAAGGTCACAGTGCTACCGTCCACATGCGTCCCCCCCACTCAGTACAGCGTTTCGTGGCCCCATAGGGAGCTCCACCGAAGGCCCCAGTGCCACCGTCCACATGCGTCCCCCCCACTCAGTACAGCGCTTCGTGGCCCCATAGGGAGCTCCACCGAAGGCCCCAGCGCCACCGTCCACATGCGTCCCCCTCATTCAGTGCAGCGTTTCGTGGCCCCACAGGGAGCTCCACCGAAAGCCCCAGTGCCACCGTCCACGTGCGCCCCCCCCCACTCAGTGCAGCGTTTCGTGGCCCCATAGGGAGTTCCACCGAAGGCCCCAGTGGGACCGTCCGCAAGCGTCCCGAAACACCCATTGTGGCATTTTCATCCACCCAGTCTAAAACTTCGTGGCCCCGTAGGGAACTCCACCTAAGGCCCCAGCGGCACCGTCCGCATGCGTCCCGAAAACCCAACGTGGCACGTTTACCCACCCAATACAGCGTTTCGTGGCCCCTTAGTGAGCTCCACCGAAGCCCCCAGTGGGACCGTCCGCATGCGCCCCGGAAGCCCAGTTTGGCATTTTCACCCACCCAATACAGCGCTTCGTGGCCCCATAGGGAGTTCCACCGAAGCCTCCAGTGGGACCGTCCGCATGCGTCCTGGAAACCCAGTTTGGCATTTTCACTTACCCAGTGCAGCACTTCGTGGCCCCATAGGGAACTCCACCGAAGCCCCCAATGGGACCGTCCGCATGCGTCCCGGAAACCTTACTTGACACACCAGTCACCCATAACAGCGTCCCCCCCCCACCCAGTGCAGCGCTTCGTGGCCCCATAGGGAGTTTCACCGAACAAAATTTTCACAATTGCGGTACCCACATTTGCATATGGCTGGGTCCTTCCCCAGGATGATTTTGGCCTTGTTGCAGGAAGGAGCGGGGGTGAGGGAGCAGAAAGGGTGGAGAGTGGAGGCCTCAGAGCTTGCCGCCCGCCCCACTGGCAGCTGCAGGCTCCTGTTTTTGTTCCCCGAACTGTTCACGGCGCAGGGGCCTCTGCAGCGGGGCAGCGGTGCGGATGGCCCGCGCAGAGCATCCCCCGCATCGCCCGCCCCAGGTATTTCCTCGGGCCGACGATTGTCGGACGAGAGGGGTTGCTTCCGTGTTCATCCCAGGGTTCAAGAGTGCCCAGAGTCGCAGACGGCACGACCCCCGACGGCCTTATTCTTATCCTCCCCCTCCTCCTCCTCCTCCTCCTCCTCCTCCTCCTCCTCCTCCTCCTCCTCCTCCTCCTCGCCTTTTACTTTCATCTCCCCCCAGCTCCACGGGCGGGCCAAACGTCGACTTCACCTCCTTGGCATCGCTCGGATGTGTGCGTTTTTCACTGGCGACCTCGAGGGCGCGGAGTTCTTCGCTCTTCGCGGCTCGGCTCCGATTCCCCCTCTCGTTTTCCTCGTCTCCCCTGGGGGGGGGGGGAGCGGCGCGAGAGCGGGCAGTTATTCGCGCTTCGCGCAGCGTGAAGCGCGAAGTCGAGCGCCCCATGGATCAGATAGCGAAACTTATCCCGGCGAATCAACCTAACAGCGATGTGTATAAGCATATTTGGAAACATTGCCCTTAAGATTCAGGTGATAATCCAGTTGTAGAATTCTGCTGTTCTCGCAGTCGCAGTCGCATGTCGCAGTGGCAACGGCCTTAGGATCCAATGGAATCCTAAGGACTCCGAGGGGGTCCTAAGGCATCCTTAGGAATCCATAGGAAACCTTAGGAATCCTTAGGAATCCTGATTCCGAGGGATTCCTAAGGATTCCCGAGGAATCCTAAGGATTCGTAAGGATTCCTGAGGATGCTTAACTATGCCTACGGATTCTTAAGGATGCCTACGGATTCCTAAGGATTCCGATGGATTCCTACGGATGCCTCAACCTGCTTCAGTTCCAGCCTCAGCCTCAGCCTGCCTCGGCTTGCCTCAGCCTCAGCCTCAGCCGGCCTCGGCCTCGGCCTCAGCCTGTTTCAGCCTCAGCCTCAGTCTGCCTCGGCCTCAGCCTGCGTCAGCCTCAGCCTCAGCCTGCCTCAGCCTCAGCCTGCCTCAGCCTCAGCCTCAGCCTCAGCCTCAGACTGCCTCGGCTTGCCTCAGCCTCAGCCTCAGCCTGCCTCGGCCTCAGCCTGGCTCGGCCTCAGCCTGCCTCAGCCTCCCCTCCCCCCCCATCCCCCCCCCCATTCAGCCTCACCTTGTCTCAGCCTCAGCCTGCCTCAGCCTCAGCCTCAGCCTGCCTCAGCCTCAGCCTCAGTCTGCCTTCAGCCTCGGCGTCAGCCTCAGCCTGCCTCAGCCTCAGCCTGCATCAGCCTCAGCCTCAGTCTCAGCCTGCCTCAGCATCAGCCTGCCTCAGCCTCAGCCTCAGCCTGCCTCAGCCTCAGCCTCAGCCTGCTTCAGCCTCAGCCTGAGTTTGCCTGCAGCCTCGGCCTCAGCCTCAGCCTGCCTCAGCCTCAGCCTGCCTCAGCCTCAGCCTCAGCCTCAGCCTGCCTCAGCCTCAACCTGCCTCAGCCTCAGCCTCAGCCTGCCTCAGCCTCAGCCTCAGCCTCAGCCTGCCTCGGCGTGCCTCAGCCTCAGCCTCAGCCTGCCTCGGCCTCAGCCTGCCTCGGCCTCAGCCTGCCTCAGCTCGGGCATTCAAAATATGGCACAGGACTGGTGTTCTGGGAGCACGAAGATCACGAAGTGGCCCACAGTTGGCTCCGGGCAGTCAAAATATTGTACAGGAGTGGTGTTCTGGGAACACGAAGAGCACGAAGTGGCCTACAGTTGGCTCCGGGCATTCAAGATCTGGCCTGGGAATGGTGTTCTGGGAACACGAAGAACACGAAGTGATCCACAGTTGGCTCCGGGCATTCACAATGTGGCCTGGGAATGGTGTTCTGGGAAGACGAAGAACACGAAGTGGCCTACAGTTGGCTCCGGGCATTCAAAATGTGGCCTGGGAATGGTGTTCTGGGAGCGCGAAGAACGCGAAATGGCTTACAGTTGGCTCCGGGCATTCAAGATCTGGCCTGGGAGTGGTGTTCTGTTGGCTCCGGGCAGTCAAAATGTAGCTCTTGGCAGTGAAAATGGGGAGTCCCCAGTTTTCCCCGGCATCCCCTGGATCCTGCCCAGACCCCCTTGGGGAGTCAAGATGCTCCCTTTTGACCCCACTAGAAACCTATCAGTCTTCGCTGTTAGGTAGAAGCGCCCCGTTGATCATGCAGTCAACGCGCCTAGTACGGACGCGCGCCTTCATCTAGGGTGCCTTTGTGTCCTTACCTTTGGGGCCCGTATTTTGCCGTTTTCCTTGGTCGCCCCCCGCCGCCCCAAAAGGCCCAACTTCGGCCTCCAAGGGTCTTGCGTCCTTGCCGCGCGATACACGTTTCGATTGTATAGCGAACAAAAAATTCGCACGACACCGAAATGTGCATGGGGAGTGGACGTCCGAGCGATGGCGAGGAGAGGAGAGGAGTTGCTCGGGCGGGCCCGTGTTTTTGACCCACCTCATGTTTTGGAAGAGGTGGTGACGTTCGGGCACGGCCGGAAGCGGTGCACCGGCGAGCTCCACGCACGGTCGCAGATCTCAGCCCTGCTGGCCTCGTTCGTGATGCGCTTCGACATGGACCTCGTCACGGGCATGCCAGACAACTCAATCCCCGAGGATCTCCCTGGAGATGGGGGAAGAGAAGCAGGAGGAGGAGGAGGAAGAGGACCAGAGTAAACCCAGGATGCATCATAACTGCTGCAACACCCCACACACACACACACACCCTCCCGCCCCAAGTCCTAAGGCATTCGTCCGAAGCTTTTATAATGCGAGTGTGCGCGGAGCTAGGGCGAGAGCCCAATTTGGGAAAGGGGTTGGTATCCATCCGTTGTGACTGTGACAGACGTTTGGGCGAGTGATCACGGCGGCAGGTCGGGAGGCCCATCCCGTGCCTTTTGGGATGCGCCTACGTGGCCACACTTTTGGGCAAAGTTCGGCCACGCCATCGGACCATGCGTTCCCCCAGCCGTTGTGGAAACCCTTCAGGGAACACGTGGGGGAGGAAGTGGGGGATGAGGTGAGGGAGAAAAAAGGAGTACGAGTAGAAGGATGAGGACACCTTTTGGGGGTTTCGGCGGTCATTCCTGGGGTCTCCTGGAAGCTTCTTGGGGGCCTCTTGGAGGCCTCTTGTGGGCCTCCGGCCTTTGGGGATTTTTTGAAGGCCCCTTTGGCAGTCTTGCGGCGTTCCTGGCCCGTTTGATGCTGTCGGAAACCGTCTTGGGAGCCTCTCTGGGCCGTCCTGGGGCCCTCTTGGGGCGCTTCAGGGTCGTTTTGGAGCCCATCTTGGGAGTCTGGGAGGCCTCTTGGGCTGTCTTGGGAGCCTGTTGGCCCGTTCTGACACCATCTTGGGCGCCTCTTTGGCGATCTTGGGGCAATCTTGGGCGCCTCTTGGGCCGTCGGACGCCCACTTTGAAGCAAGTGCCAAAGTCATTGAAAAACCTCGGACAAATACATGATTTTGGCATCTTCTGGCCTTCCTGGAGGACCCCTTGGAAGCCTCTTGGGCCGTCTTAGGCCCCTCTTGGGCGCCTCTTGGGCCGTGTTAGGCTCTCTTGGACTATCTCGGTGGTCTTGGAGGCATTTTTGGGACCGTGTTGGAGGCCATCTTGGGCTAGTTTGGACTCTCTTGGGGCAATCTTCGGTTTTAATGCAACGGTGCGGCCTTCCAGGTGGCCGGCGCGCTGGGCCGAAGCCCCAGGGAGAGCCTTTGAAAGAGCCAAAACACATCAGACGTTCAGCACGCCAGGCACCCCTGTGAAAAATCAGCAGGGGGCGGCGGATCACGGAAAGCGCACGTAGCGTCGCCATTCGTTAGTTGGAAGAAATAACAAGGGGGAAATTGAGGGGGTTGGCAGGACCCGTCCCGGATCAAATGGCCCAAATGTCATTCATTTTCGGCCGAAGTTGGCCCCAAGAACGCACAAGAGGCCCCCAAGACGGCCCGAGAGGCCCCCAAGGCGGCCTAACATACCTCCAGGACGGCCTCCGAGAGGCCCAAGAGAATCCCAAGACGGCCCAAGAGCGTTCTCCGTAGCCGTTTTGGCTCAGGCCATTGGGGCTTAAGCTTGTCGTGAGCTTGAGGCGGTTATTTAGTTTGCTCGCGCTTCCTTCATCCACCACCTAAAAACATAGCCATGCAGGCGATGAAGCATGCGAAGGACGAAATGAAGGCGTCGGCCGCGAAGACGGTGATCAAGGCGGCTGCTCCGTCGTATATTGGGTGTTGGCTGAATTGCTGCACCGTCGGCTGCGTGGTACACACACTGGATAACGCGGAATTCATCATCCCAGAAGAGAAGAGGCCCCAGATCAAGGCGGCCGTGGCACAGTACAAAGCCTTGTGAGCTGCTGGGCCTCGCAGGGAATTGCAGGCGTGGCACTTACTACTGTTGCTTTACAGGCCTTCGCCTCACGAATTGTCGCAGGCGTTCTGCTAGAGCCACGGCGGGCGTCGCAGGCACGGCAAGCAATTGTTTACGATTCGCGAATCCCCGCCAGCCCATTCACGAGCCCTGCCCACGAGAGCTGACGAGAAATGGAAGCAGCGACGCATATAGTGAAACAGAGCGGTCAAAGAGAGGAGGGGGAGGAACGTGTTGAGCCATGTAGGAGGCTATCTTGGAGCATCGGAGGCCTTCTTGGAGCTATGAGGCTTTTGGGGGGCGTCTTGGGGTCCTCTTGGGGCTCTTTTTGAGGCGTCTTGGGGCCATCTAGGGGCTATTTGAGGGGTCTTGGGGTCCTCTTGGGGCTCTTTTTGGTGCGTCATAGGGCCCTCTTGGGGCCCTTCTTGGGGCCCTCTTGGGGCTCTCTGGGGGCTCTCCTGGGAGCTTCGGAGGGCCTCCTGGGGCCATCTTGGAGGCCATCGATGAAAGGAGGGGGGGTCCTAAATTTGCCTCCCCCCTCCGGGGCCATCAAAATAGCCGGTTGGGCCGCTCTTGGGGCCTTTCGGAAGCGATTTTGGGCGCTCATGGGGCCATCTTGGCGGCCTCTTGGGCCCTTCTTGGAGCTCTCTTGGGCCATCTTGGGGCCATCTTGAAGCCTCAAAAACGCATCGGAAGCGAAAAGGCGAGACGCCCACAATCATTGGTTTTCCGTTGGTGTTTGAAAGATTATGGTTTCTCGAGGGGGTCCTGAGGGGTCTCCAAAAGCATTTGGATCCGTCTTGTGGCCTTCTTGGAGCCTCTTGGAGGCATGTTGTTAGCTATCTTGAGCCATGTTGGGCGATCTTGAGCGATCTTGGAGACCATCTTGGGCTCTCTGAGGCCCTCTTGTAGCCATCTTGGGCCACAAAGGACCCTCTGCCACCTCGCGAACCCCCGCGGCCAGGTCGAGGGGAGGGGGTAGCGGGAGGGGTCAAGACACCCACCCGCCCACAAGCCGTCTGGCTCACTCCCACCCGCCCTCCCTACACATAAGTAACACCCGAGCCTGAGCATGTTCAGCGGTCGTCTTTGGATGGGCAGCTACTGGGAACCAAAGCCAACCCCAGGTACGCGACGTTTGGGCGAGGTGCGCCACGCGTGCCAGCGGCGCCACGCGCGCCATGCACCCCTGGGGCCCGAGCGTGCCAGGCACGCCTGGTGCGCCAGATGCGCCACGTGCTCCGAGTGCGCCAGGTGTGCCGCACACTCCAGCCCCGCCAGGTGCGCCGCGTTCGGGGCACGTGCAGAGTGCGTCAGGTGCGCCTTCGCACGTGACAGCACACATCGGGAAACATGTCGACCCCCGCCATCCTTGTCGAAAACCGATGCCCATTATTGTGTCTGGTGGGCCTGCGCACATCAGGCCACGCGACACCACCCCCGCCGTCCCTGTCAAAAGCCAACTGACAGTGATCGCTGGGTGGCCGCGCATGATCCAGATTTAGCCGCGAGGTGCATGTTGCATTGTTTGTCCCAACCATCCTGTGGTGTTGGGTCCTCGTTTTGAAGAGACGGCGCCCCAACTTCTCCTCCTCCCGCCTCCTTCCTCCCTCCTCCTCCTCCTCCTCCTCTTCCTCCTCCTCCTCCTCCTCCTCCTCCTCCTCCTCCTCATCCCTCCTCCCCCTCATCGCAATCATCATCTCATTGCCTCTGCCCTCCGCATGTCTCTGTTTCGGCACACCCAGCACAGCGCTTCGTGACGCCATAGGGAGCTCCACCGAAGGCCCCAGTGGCAGGGTTCGCATGGCGGCCTCGGGCCATTTCGGCACACCCATCACGAGGATGCTGGCTCCATAGGGGGCTCCACCGAAGGCCCCAGTGGCAGGGTTCGCATGGCGGCCTCGGGCCATGTCGGCACACCCCTCACGAGGACCGTGGCCCCATAGGGAGCTCCATTGAAGGCGCCAGAGGCAGGGTGAGCCATTTGGGCACACCTCTCACGAGGATCGTGGCCCCATAGGAGCTTCACCGAAGGCGCCAGTGGCAGGGTTCGCATGGCGGCCTCGGGCCATTTCGGTACACCCCTCACGAGGGTCGTGGCCCCATAGGAGCTCCACCGAAGGCGCCAGTGGCAAGGTTCGCATGGCGGCCTCGGGCCATTTCGGCACAGCCCTCACGAAGATCGCGGCTCCATAAGAGCTCCACCGAAGGCCCCAGTGGCAGGGTTCGCATGGCGGCCTCGGGCCATTTCGGCACACCACTCACGGGGATCGTGGCCCCATGGGGAGCTCCGCCGAAGGCCTCAGTGGCAGGGTTCGCATGGCGGCCGCGGGCCATTTCGGCACACCACTCACGGGGATCGTGGCCCCATGGGGAGCTCCGCCGAAGGCCTCAGTGGCAGGGTTCGCATGGCGGCCGCGGGCCATTTCGGCACACCCCTCACGAGGATGGTGGCCCTATAGGAAGCTCCACCGAAGGCGCCAGTAGCAAGGTTCGCATGGCGGCCTCGGGCCATTTCGGCATACCCCTCACGAGGACCGTGGCCCCATAGGGAGCTCCACCGAAGGCGCCAGTGGCAGGGTTCGCATGGCGGCCTCGGGCCATTTCGGCACACCCCTCACGAGGATGGTGGCCCCATAGGGAGCTCCACCGAAGGCGCCAGTAGCAAGGTTCACATGGCGGCCCCGCCCCATTTCGGCGCACCCCTCACGAGGATCGTGGCCCCATAGGGAGCTCCACCGAAGGCGCCAGTGGCAGGGTTCGTATGGCGGCCCCGCCCCATTTCGGCGCACCCCTCATGGGGATCGTGTCCCCGTGGGGAGCTCCACCGAGGGTGCCAGTGGCAGGGTTCGCATGGCGGCCCCGCCCCAT